CTAATCCATTATCTTATTACCCAGTTCTGCCATATCCATTTCATGGTAGGTGCTCAGTAAGTGGTCCCAAAGGCTGATGTGGTATTTCTTTTTTTTTCAGGAAAAGGTCAAGGAGCTTCAGAACAGGGGCAGTGATGTGGCCTTGGAAGTGGTGGACAATGCCCTGCTAGCCTTGCAAGGTGAGAGAGCTGGGCTAGGGTTGGAGCTAATCTTTCCTTCCTGGCTTTATCAACTGCTTAGCCCAAAGTTTCATACCAATAAGTTTTAGATGATGTGATACTGGTGTGCCATCATTCTAAGTTTGGTATCTTGCCTTCCTACTACCTACCACAAGGCTAGGGACAAGGGCATTGTCTCCTATTTGCAGTGTAAGACTTGCTCAGGGCTTGTTCTAGTCCCTGAGTAAGGGCTGAGTCCAGCTTTGGGGGGTGCTGGGACCTGGATGCCTGGTCACTGGCTCCCTGGGCCCAGGACCCACTGCGGCACAGGTGCTGCAGGCCGGCGTGGCAGATGACCTGAAGAAACTGCCCTTCATGACCAGTGCTGTGATGGAGGTGTTTGGCGTGTCTGGCTGCCGTGTGACCCGCTGTGGCTACACAGGAGAGGATGGTGTGGAGGTGTGTTACGTGGACGTAGGGAGGTACAGGGCCCAGACTGGGGGGACATCTACCCACCTGCTTTCTGGTATCCCATGCAGATTTCGGTGCCGGCAGTGGGGGTAATTCACCTGGCAACAGCTCTGCTGGAAAACCCGGAGGTGAAGCTGGCAGGGCTGGCGGCCAGGGACAGCCTGCGCCTGGAGGCAGGCCTCTGCCTATATGGGAAGGACATTGATGAACACACTACACCTGTGGAGGGCAGTCTCAGCTGGACATTGGGTAAGCTGGGCTAGCACTCAAGGATGGGGTTCTGGAGGTTGGAGTGACCTTTAATGAGACTAGCTAGTGCATGACTGCTCCTAAGGTTGTCCTAGAGTAAGTGACTTGGCCTTCCTGAACCTCCATTCCCTGAAGGTTCCCCTGTGGCTTTGCACCTTAGGAACTAAGGACACTTGGCAGGTGGGCAGAATGGCTTCTAGGGGCTTGGAGGTGATTGACGATTAAGTGTAGTGCAGGGAAGGAATAGAGCTTGGAATAGCCCAAGTGAAGGAAACTTTATGCTGGATAGATGTCACTTGGGGTTCTTGTAGCTGAGAACTCCTATTGCCAGGGCTTTTTTGGGCTGTGGCTATGTCTGATGTGTCATATTTCAGGGAAGCGCCGCCGAGCTGCTATGGACTTCCCTGGAGCCAAAGCCATCGTTCCCCAACTGAAGGGCAAAGTACAGCGGAGGCGTGTGGGGTTGATGTGTGAGGGGGCCCCAATGCGGGAGCACAGTCCCATCCTGAGCATGGAGGGTGCTGTGATTGGTAGGTACACCACAAGTGGGGAGTGTTTGTCTCTTCCCCAGGAGTGTGGGGGCTTTGGGCTGACAGGGTGGTACTAACACATGGCCTATGCCTGGACAGGTACTGTGACCAGTGGCTGCCCCTCACCCTGCCTGAAGAAGAATGTGGCGATGGGTTATGTACCCTATGAGTACAGTAGGCCAGGGACACAGCTGCTGGTAGAGGTGCGGCGGAAGCAGCAGATGGTTGTGGTCAGCAAGATGCCCTTTGTACCCACAAACTACTATATCCTAAAATAAGATGGCACAGGGCAGGGCTCTCCTCTGCAGGAATCTTGCCCTGGAGGGCATCCCATAAGATAGAGATAGAATTCTGAGGAAGCTGAGATAGAATTCAGTCTAGTGGACTGCTAGAGTAGTCTATCCCACCCAACCCCCCAACCCATGCTGCTCCAACTTTTTTGTGAGACAGTCTCACTTTGTCCCCTTTGGTAGAGTGCTGTGGCATCATAGCTCACAGCAACCTCCAACTCCTGGGCTTAGGCGATTCTCTTGCCTCAGCCTCCCTAGTAGCTGGGACTATAGGTGCCTGCCACAGTGTCCGGCTATTTTTTTTGTTGTTTAGCTGGCCCAGGCCGGGTTTGAACCCACCAGCCCTGGAGCACATGGCTGGCGCCCCTCAACCACTGAGCTACAGGTGCCCGGCCTGCAACTTTTTTGAGACAAAGTCTTATTCTGTTGCCCAGGCTAGAGTGCCATGGTGTCAGGTCAGTTCATAGTAACCTCAAATGATCCTCCTGCTGCACCCTCCCCAGTAGCTCGGACTATACACATGTGCCACCATGTATGGCTAATTTTTTCTATTTTAGTAGAGACAGGGTCTCAATATGTTGCTCAGGCTGGTCTTGAACTCCTGAGTTCAACGGATCCTCCTAGGTCAGCCTCCCAGAGTGCTAGGATTGTATGTGTGAGCCATGGTACCAGGCCTAGGATAACATTTCTGAATGATGGACCAGCTCAATGTCCTGTTTCAGTCCACAGTCCCACTAACCCTACTCTTCCCTGCTGGAGGGCAGATGAGAAACACTGGTTCTGCAATCTCATTCACTCTGCTAGGTGCTGATTGTCAAGCAAAGGCTCACCTTTGTGGGGAGGATTAAAACCTGCCCAAACTACATCATGATGGTTTCTCACATTGCAAAGGGTTATTACTATGGGCTGAGTGGGTTTAAGCTACCTTCTCCAGTTTGCC